TGATCCAGGCCATCCACATGGCTAGGAGTGTCCAGCTTGCAGTATATGTGGCCTGAGATGACATTCCAAATGATAATCTCTCCATCATAACTGGAGGTGGCCAGAAGAAAAGGTGGGCATTGAGCCACACAGAGGATGTCCTCCTTGTGCCCATGGTTCTGCAGAGGAGCGATGGGTGGAGTTGAAAAGTACAATCAAGTCTCAAGTCATCCACATTTAACTGGGCTTCACTCGATCCAGAAGATAGAAGGAACAGCTGCTGCCCTTCCCTGCGGTTGCCCATGTATATGGAACCTCCATTCGGCTGACCAGTCTCTAGATCAGCCAGAAAGGCTGTATCTCTTTGAGTCAGCTCTGTCACCTCCGTAGGCCTCGCCTTTCCCAGGGAAGTGCCACTTCAGTGGCTTCCTTACCTCACCATGTCGCTGACAAGCAGGTTATTGGCAAGGTGCCCTTGTGGGGTCAGGGACAACAGAACTCAGTCCCTGGCAAGGTGGTTCAGTTTTCCCACAACCAGAGGCCTGTATGCTGAGGTAAGTTGTTCCATGACTCAGACCGTCTGGGGATCCCATCTGTCACTCTCACTGTGGCTTACATGTGCTGTTATGAATGGAAACCATCTGATTTCAAAATGAGGAGTTTGGGTTATGTATCATTAAGAAAGGTATAAGAACCCAACATGGGGTTGTAAAGATTGGCACTTCAGGGTCCAGAAAGCTAGTAGTAGGGCTTGAACTCAGGGCCTGGGTGCTGTCCTTTAGCTTTTCTGCTCAAGGCTGCTGCTCTAACACTTGAGCCACAGCCCCACTTCTGACTTTTTGTTAGTGAATTGGGGATAAGAGTTATCACAGACTTTCCTGCCTGGGCTAGCTTTGAACCATGATTCTCATATCTCAGCCTCCTGAATAGCTAGGATTACAGGTATGAGCTACTAGTACCCAGCTCCATAAGTGTCTTGCAGGGCAGTTACTCTGCAAAGGGCACTGGCTTTTCTTGATCATACAAAGATTTTCCATCACCTTTGCCCGTGTGTGTTTGCCACAGAAAGTCCCTTGAGGATCTGTCCATGATCACCTAAGATAACCCTTCTGCTGAAACACAGCTGATGTCTGTGAGACTGTTGGAAAAAGGCCATCTTTTCCCCATGATCCTGTTTTTCCAGATCCCCTTCCCAATCTACCATCCAAAACTTGTGAGCACTTAGGTCTGAGATTCTTCCATGTCTACCAGTTCACACAGTGAAGTCTTAACCCCATGGTGATAGATAGTATTTGGAGATGGGGCATTTGGGAGGTTATTGGAGGTTGTGAGGATGTGGGGATTCTTGTCTAACAAGAAGAGACATACAGCTCACTCTCTCCCTTTCATGTCAGTCCACAGCAAGGAGGCATCCATCTATGAATCAGGATAGGGGCCCTTACCCAAAGCCAACCATGCTGACAACCCGATCTCAGACTTTCACTCTCCAGAACTGTGAGAAATCTAATTTCATCTCTGTTGTTCAAAATGCTCAGTGTGTGGCATTTTGTTAGGGCAGACCAAGCAGGCCAAAATACTATTTTAGTATCCCTTTCAAACTCTGATTTAATTTTCCAACATTCTTATCCCTCCTAGAACCCATGCATCTGTTCCTCAAACTCTCCAGAGTACAGACAACACACTCCCAACCTTCCAGGCTTTGGCTCACACTCTCTCCTCATCTAGATCATCTTGCCCTTCTAGAAAAATCTGAGTCATCTTTTAAAATCCCCTGTGATGTCAGCAACGTTAGTGATGCCCACTTGTGTGCTTCTGCAGCAGTTGAGAATTCATTTAATCTTCTGCTATGGTGTATGATTCGCATTTCTTCAGTGGGTTATCTGCTCAGTGTTGTGAGACTTTGAGAAATCATACTTCATTCACATTTGCACTTCGGTGCCTGTCCACTAAGGGTGGCATGATGCAATGCACCATAAATGCCTGTGAATGAATTGAGGATTGAATGACTCTGCACCCTCGGACTCAGGCATGACGTCTCCTGTAGTGGTCATGGCTTCTCTGGGAAATTCTGTGTATCAATGTATTCTTTCATTCAGCATTCACTGAATGCAAACTCCACCAAGACAGGACTGTGCCTGTTTTTGCTCATCCCTGAAACAACTCACACTTGGTCCACAAGAGGCACTTAACAGATACTGATCAGATGAAAATAAATTTGTATTGGGCAACTACTACAAGTCAAGTGCTGAGCTAGGTAGACCACAGTGAAAAGATAGCTAGGGGTTGTCAATGAGGGCTGTCTTCACAGAATTTCTACTTCAAGTTACTTATACCTATTCAATTATATGTATGTATGTATGTATATATATATATATGTGTGTGTGTGTGTGTGTGTAGGGAGTAATAAAGTAGATAGGGTGTAGGAACACAGCTAGGCACAGTAGACTTGTTTATTTTTTTTTAAATGCCAGTACTGGGGCTTGAACTCAGGATTTAGGCATTGTCCTTTAGCTTTTCCACTCAAGGTTTTTTTCCACTCACATTTCCACTTCTGGCTTTTTTGGTGATTAATTAGATAAGAGTTTCACAGACTTCTTCACTGGCTTAAAACAGAGACCTCAGACATCAACTTACTAGGTAGCTAAGATTACAGATCTATGTCACCAGCACCTGGCCTGTTTCTGCTTTCTTGACACTTGTTTTATTGTCTTGGAATTTAGATAATGTGTGTGTGTGTGTGTGTGTTGATACTGAAGCTTGAACTCAAAATCTTGAACTCTCCCTTAGCTTTTTCTCTCCAGGCTGGTACTTTACCACTCAAGCCACACCTCCACTTCTGGCTTTTTGCTATAGAAGGTAAGAGTCTCACAGAATTTTCTGCTTGGGCTGGCTTCAACCTTGATCCTCAGATCTCAGCCTTCTGAGTAGCTAGAATTACAAGTGTGAGCCATGAGCACCAGTGGCATTCAGATAATTTGAGGAGGGCCAGTTAGTGCAGGAAATTGGGAATCTTCTTGAGTTCTAGTCAGAAACAAGAAGTCCTCTGCATCTTGGCCTCCAATAGGCCACTGTATGGCAGAAAAATGTCACCCTCTAAGCTCTCTGGATGCCCACAGATGGTACAATGAACACAGGGTGAAACAGAAGCAGGAAGTAGATGCTTCCTTCCATAAAAAGCTCACCTACCCCATCCTAAACTGCCCTTCCTGCATACTGGGACTCCTAGTGCTAGATGGACTCTGTCCCTCTGGCTACATGGGGTTGTCACTCTCCCCAGAGAGAAAGAAGTGGCCACTTAGGTCTCAGTAGGCCTGGCTCTACTTGGACCCCAATCACAAATTGTGCAAGAATAGGGACTTGTAAGATGCTGTCCTGATGCAAGTCAGGCCCAGGAAATGTAACAGGGCCTGGAGTAACAGAGGTCCTGATCATGTGCTGCTGTGTGGCTCAAGAGCTAGGCCATACTAGGACTCACCAGGTCATCCTGCCAGGGAGGCTGCGGCTTCCAGAAGTGATGAAAGTCATGTGGGGCATCCTGTATCCACAGCCAAAGAAGAGACATTGTACACGCACTAAAATAAACTGCCAACATACTCACAACTTCAGAGAGGAGGTGTTGGCACATTTCATAACCCTACCCCTCACCCCACCACTGATGCAGATTTTTGAAATGTCAAAGCAAATTCCCCTAGTGCCAGTGGGAATAAAAAGCAATCCACTCTTGACGTTTGGGTGATTGCGTTCCAGCAAATCATATGTCAACTGACAAGCTCGCCTCTGATGGGCTACAGAGCTTTGCCTTCCTAATAACACCAGAGCTGTTCCAAGTGCTAACACCAAAGCCAACGGCCCAGGAACCTGTAATTCCAAAGGACACATTCAATGCCAAAATCTCCTAGGTAGTCATCTCTCAAATCATTCTGAGGAGGCAAGGTTTGGCACATCCCGAAGAATAAAGAATTTGCAGCATTTAAAGGCTTTCGGGAATCCATGACTCCTCCTCCTACTAAGTGAGGATAAGACATGGCAGAGGGA